TCCCCCGCTGCTGCGCCGGGTCCCCCCACACGGTCCAGCGGCTGGCCCTGCCGTCCCCAGAGCAGGGATGTGGCACTGCTGGGTGCCCCCCTGCCCTCTGTCTCCACCAAGCCGCCCCCTGCCAAACCCCTGTGGCTGGGGAGGACCCCTCCACCTAAGTGCCGCAGGGCAGCTGTGGTGCCTTCTGTCTCTGGCTATAGTCCTGGCACCTGCTGGAGCAGCATGGGGACACGGTGGCTGGGGCTCAGCTCCTCTGCCCCCAGGAAGACTGTGGAGCTCTGGGGCTGCTGGCCTGCTGGCAGAGGATGGAGCAGGGGCGTAGGGGCTGAGCCCTGACCCCACTGCCAGGGTGCCTTGGCTGGGAGCTGCTGGCTGGACCACATGCTTGCAGAGAGGCAACTCCTGGCCCGCTTCACTACCCTGGTTTTGAGGCAGGGTGGACACTCTGTGGCTTATCCCCGTTCTGGGTGACTGGCCATCCCCCTGCTTGCCTGGGCAGGGTGATGTGGTGCCCCACAAGGACCCAGCCTGCTCTCAGGGCCTGGCAATGGGTTGTGTCCCCCTCATCCCTGTGCCTTGGGGACATCTGCAGCAGTATCCCCAAGAAAGGGGATCAGGGAACTCTCAGCCTGGCTATGACTACTGCACACTGGGGGAGGGCTGGAGGCATGGTGAGCAAGGAGCAGGGTGTGACAGAGCCTTGGATGAGGGGCACAAGCAGGACTGTGTAGGGTGCCAGGGCTGGAGCTTGGGGTCTGGGCAGGGCGAGTGGGGATAGGGGCATGGCAAAGGGGCAGGCAGGCTGGGCAGGGAGCACACAGCTCCCCATCTTGCCCCCCACGTGCATCCTTCATCTCCCTTCACCCTGGTGTGGTCTGGCCATGGCACAGGGGTCCCGGCAGCCCTTGCAGCCTGGTGCTGGGCTGCAGGAGCCCTGCCTTCCCTGCCAGTCTCTGCCCGCACTGGTCCCGTGCCTTGCCGTGACCCTGCCTTGTGCTGCTGCCTGCACAGGCCTCAGCTGAGTAAACCACATTGCCAAACGTGCAGGCTGTGTCCTTTTTGCCGGGAGTGGGGACTGGGGTCAGGGGCTGCTCGCACAGCAGGACTGCAGACACAGATGGGGGGCAGAACGTTTATTCCTGGCTTGTGGTGCAAGGATCCATCCATTCCTAGGTAGGGATGGAGGAACCCTCAGGCCTGGGGGGCATACAAGCGGGGCCAGGGGGTGCTGAGTGTCCCCCCTCTACCCACCCTGCCCAGCAGGAAGGAGTGACATGGGTGGCTTTCTCCTGGCCACGTCCCATTGTCCCCACCACATCCCCAGCTCCTGGGGTCCCTGGCTCCCATGCCTTCCCAGCATGGGAAGGGGCAGGGGGTACCCCTCACAACCAGCCATTCGCACTGAAGGTGCCCCTCAGCTCCTCAACCTGGGGGGGGCTCAGCGGCGCCAGGGGTGCGCGACCGGGACCCCCGTAGTAGCCGCACCACTCC